GGGTGATATAAAAGTTATTTTTTTCTGAATATCATCTTGATACTGGTGTTTATTAGTGTATTGTGGTCCTTCAAGTCATTTTCTAAAGAGAACTTTGTATGGGGGCTAGGGTCAAATGAGGCCCGATCATTACAAAAATCGGCAGTTTTATTTAGATTTATATAAAACTTTGCAATTTATTGTAGAAATTTTAGAACATTTAACATAATTATGAGGTCAAAAAACCCATTCGGGCGGTTCGAATGTATGGGGGCTAGATGCAATAATTGGCCGATTTCAACCATTTTCAATAGTTGAAATCTTGGTCGATTTTCTGGTTAGAGAAGATATAGATAATCGGTTGAACCAGATAAATATTTTCATATAAAATACAGAAAAAAGGACCCGGTATTTTAACCGGATATTATGCACGTTACACACATCATCACCAACGTACCATTCACCTATAGTTTTGCAGTGTATAAATTCTATTTAGTATAGCTATATAAGCTGGTATTGTATACATTTTTCCTCAGTATTTACTAAATACTGAAATTAAATGGATTTTATTTAGTGCGCCCAGTTTGTTTATTTTTCCAACATTTCTTATTGTGTATGTTTATACACAAAATTAGTCGTTTTCATTAGAGTCAAATAAAAAGAAAATAAATTAAAAGAAAACATAAATAGAATGATGTGTTCGTTAATTAAAAATCAATTTAGTTTTATTTTTTTTAACTGTTGAGTTTTATTTCGTTCAATTAGAATTCATATATCATTTATTTCATGCAGAATGTTTGAAAGTGAAAACAAGTAAGAAATTATAGTCGGGAGTGGCCGACCATATGATACCCTACACCAGTTATGAATATTAAATGTGATTTATTTTTCATAATAAAGCATTTATCTTCAATATTCCCTTGTTCCGATACATTTAATTTATGGATGAAAAACTAATTTTCTGAAAGAGGCTTTATATGGGGGCTAGGGGTAAATATGGACCAAGCCCGATAAAATTTTGTGAATATATTTATATTGACATAATATTTTATTGTGCTGAATTTCATTGCGATTTTTATGTTTATAAGCTAATTTGGGACATTCAAGTAATTTTCTGAATTTGTATGGGAGCTAGGGTCAAATGGGGCCCGATCTTTATGAAATTTGGCAGGGTCATCAAGACTCCTATAAAACTTAGTTGTGCCGTATTTTATCGATATATCTGTATATTTAACATTATTATGAGCTCAGAAGCCCTTTTCGGGGGGTTCTGTTGTATGGGGGCTAGGTGAAATAATGGACCGATTTTAACCATTTTCAATAGGCTTCGTCCTTAGGTCAAATAAAACGTGCGTGCCAAATTTCATCCAATTATCTTGAAAATTGCGACCTGTACCTTGCGCACAAGGTTTACATGGACACAGTGATGCCAGGAGATTTTTTTCCGAAATCCCTACGCTTATGAGAAAAAATCCCTTTTTTCCCTACACCCACTTTTTATTTTCCCTACATTTTTCCCTACACTACTTTTTTCCACTTTTTTCAAAGTTTATCTTAAAAAAATACAAAAATAACATCAAAAACTAAAATATTAGATCCGTTTTATAATATACATATATATGTATTTTTTTTTTAATTTTTAGGAATGAAATTTCTAGAATTTAAAATTTTTTTTCTTTCAATTTTACATCATACAAATCTTCCAACCCTGACTCTTCAGTTAAGATTAAAAAAAAAAAAACAAGACAATTAATAGATTTATGGCAGTATATCGAATAGTGATAACAAAATTTATTTTATGTGCCTCCACAAAAAAATTTTCATAAAATAATTATTTAAAATAAGGTTTACTTTTGCGTTTACTTTTTGCGGTTTACTTTTATAAATTTTCAGAACATTAAATTCATTTTTTCAATCCTGAGTTACTGCATTAAGCCCCCGACTACTCTATCTATAAGGAGTCAGAATATATCGCCCTACAGGATTGGCATAATCCAAAAAGTCGTTTCAGGAAAAATGGATATAAATATTTAATGACATTTAACTATTTTTTTAATAACTTTTAAACAAATCAAGGGATTTTAAAAATCCAGATTCAGATAGTTGAGGTTAATATGTTTGTCATCTAAATTGAAATTAAATTTTTAGTTGTCTAATATTTACGAAAACGTGGGTTTTAGTTTTTACGTTTACAAAAAATCGATTTCACATCGAAAATAATAGACATATTTGAAATTTGATAAATCTATATGAAAGATTTTAGTATGTCGCATGTTTTGCAGACCTCAGTTCAAGAAACCCGAATTTTGGATTATGCCAGTCTTGTAGCGATATGTAGGTACTACATATATTGTAGAAATTACAAGCGGAATTTTTACTAACGATACACTTAAAACTGATTTCATTTTTAATTTTAAAATTTTAATACATGAAAGAGTATATTTTTAGTTGTTAAAAACTATGAAATTTAAAAATCCCTACAATTTGACAATAGTAAGAAATCTTTCCCTTTTTCCCTACACGTGACATTTTTGAAAAAAATCCCTACAAAAAGGGAAAAATCCCTACACTTGGCATCACTGCATGGACAGCCAGCCAGCCATCCAGACGGACGGACATAGCTTAATCGACTCAGAAAACGATTCTAAGCCGATTGGTATAAGGTGGGTCTAGGACGAATATTTTTAGGATTTAAGCTTAATTAAAAATCAGGACATTCTAATGCCTTAATATATATATTCTATTTCTTCCTTTAGGATTCTTCCCAGGATTCCAACTTCATCATGTACTTTTTAGAAATCTTATAACACTTAAAGTTTGAAGCATTCTTTGTAAATTGTATAGACGCCATAAATCCATTCTTAACCTCCTTATTTAATCTTCACTACCAACACTTTTCGTTTTTCCATAGTCATCAGTATAACGTCTTTATTGTCATCATCTTTTTATTCAATTTGTTTGCCGTTACACATTACATCTTTAAAGATATTGCCTTTTGGCTCTTTGGCTCCACTATGTTAGTGAATAGGGGGGGACAAGCGCTAGGCAAATAATAGGTTTACGTACTTACATACATACATATGTATGTATGTATATTTCTGCAATATGGTGTAATGTATGTATTTACACGTTTGCATACATTTACTCGTTCTGTGTTTTTTGTAATTTACAATTTTATGCTGTTAAAGTTGCTTATAGCACTTTATTGCTGCTACACAGGGAAGCTGTGTTGGTTTCCAATTACAGCCCTTTACTCTTGTTTTCTTCTTTTTCCTCCTGCTCTCGTGATGTTCATTACGAACGAAAGAATGAATGATGTAATCATCGTAACTGCATAATGACAAATGAGTTTATCCTATAAGTTTTTTTCTTTTTTTTTAATTCCATTTATTTACACTCTTAAACAATATAATTTTCTATAAAAATTTCTAAGTTTGTCATTCGCTTTTGTATATCAGAGATATAGAATGAAGCAATTTAAATTTTATGAACTGAGCTAATAACGCCATCTGGTTACATTTGTTGAATGTTTGTAATCAATCAGAGCGCCAATAAGAATTTCACTTTTAGTTAATAAATCTCGATGGTAAAAATCTAACGATTAAAGAAAAGACAGCAATTCTCATTGTAGATATTAAATTTATCATTGGTTGAAGCAAATAATGTCTATGTAAAGAATTCTTCTGATTCTAGGTAGAAAAAAGCTAAAAAACTATGATAATATACATATATGGGCAATTTCGTGACAAGTGACTCAACTTAAAAAAATCGATTTGGATGAAATTTGCTCCAAGGTTATTAGTGCTATTGGATAGTAGGCCAGACATAAATTTTCAGCTCTATTGATCAAGAACTGCCGGAGCTAGAGGGGGTCTTTTGGACAATTTTTGCTAGGACCAATATGTTCAAAATGTTCAACTTTGACCGCCTCTAACTTTGGCAGATTTCGACCGATAGGGTTGGAAATTTTATGTCAAAGAACTAGTCGGCAAAATTTTTGTTGCATAAATACGTCGAATGAAAACTTTGGATAATATAAGAAAATGAACTAAAATTAAATTTTGCAAATCCTCAAGATTTTGAGATAACTTTAACAGCTTTAACCCTCTATCACATATAATATACATACTACAGACAACATACCGATTATCTCTCTCTGAAACACAATAAAAACTTTGGATAATATAAGATAAAGACCTAAAATTAAATTTTGTGAATCCTCACGATTTTGAGACAACGTTAACCGCTTTAAAATTTATTCGAACATAATTTCGAAATTAGAAAATGTTTATATAGATTTTTGTATACAAAACTTATAGTCGGAATAAGTAACTATAACATATTTAATTAATTATTTATTGTACCAAGCAGTTTGTTTTGATATCTTTCTGCTTTAAGTATTTCAAAAGAATATAATAAATCCATTGAAAACTTTATTTTGAATAGCATATTGTTTTCAATTCTATTCTATACAAAGATTTCTATTATTTGTCAAACTTATTAAAACGAAATCAGGTCATAATATAAAAAAGTTATTAATCAACATATTAACGGAGTCATGAAAAAATATGTGGTAAAATTCTGTTCACTCATTGTTACTACTTCAGACAGTTACTGGATAGATTAAAGATATCCGATCTTTATTTTTTCGCTTTTTTTCTGACCAATGATATTGGAACTTAAAAAAACTACTTGTGGTGTATTTAATTATACATATCAATATTAGTTTATAACAAGCAAATAAATATAATATTAGGCCGGAAGAGGACAACATCACTTACACCAACACAAACAAATTATTTTAATTTAAATTTTTTTATATATAAATGGTTTAATTTGTTCATTAATTTAAAATGTTTTACGTCAATTCCTTGCTTTATTATTTCTTTTTTCTTTTCAATTCGTAATTTAACTAAGTCTATAAAAAAATATTTATTTAACAAATAAAACTAAAAGCTCAATCAAAGAAAACGTATTTTAAATGTCTCTCTGTTATAATAAAACAAATAAAATCTCTTTAGCTTTTGAATTCAAATTTATGAGACGTACATCTTTAAAAGTTCTTATGCCAAAATTATCATCCCAAGATAGTTTAAACAACAGTCCAGATCCATCATCACCAGGTGACAATTGTAGATGTTTGCTAAAATGTTTATTATTAATAATTGTTTTGTAATTTCTAATACTTAATACAAAAAGAAACTACACAATTTCAAGCACCAAAAAAAGCAATTAAAACAATTGTTATTTAAAAGCAAAAAACGTGTGTAAATTTCAAATCAGAAAGACAAAACATTATACGTACCAATAAAAGTCTTCTGTTAACTCTAAGTCACAAAATTACAGTTTTGTTAAAAAATACTAATACATTTAATAAATGTGATTTCTCTTTTTTCAACGTCAAACAATTCACAATTCACTTCACTAAATCTCACAGAATCTGTTGTTGTACTTTAACCATAGTTTTATGTAAATTATATTTAAATAAAAATTAATTTTATATTCCTCTACATGACAATGACGCACACTTTGTTTATTTTTATAATTATTTATTTATAATTTGCATGCAAAATATATATTTTTGTTTGCATTTTATAATTATTTTTGAATTCATAGTCGTCTTTTTTTTTTAGTTCTATATTTGTTTGTTCACACTGCACATAAAAATTAAATTTCATTGTGATCCACACGCTCTTTGTACCTGTGTCGTTATAAAAATTTAAAGTTTTATGGATTAAGCATTATCAAAAAGAAAACTTTTTTTAGGATTAATTTCAATAAATTCGTTTATGACCCACCGAATAGTCTAGTCTATTGAGAAGCCTTTATGCTAGTCTTTAGACTGACCTATCGACCATTTCACTGATTGACTATTCTATAAGCTAGTCTATGGATTATTCAATTGACTAATCTATTGACAAGTTTATAGATTTTTTTTAATAAACTAGTATCAAGTCTATTAACAAGACTAGTTAAGTATTCAATTAACTAGTCTACGTACTAACCTATTGACTAGCCTGTTCACAAGTTGTTTTACGATCCTTTTCACAAGTCTATTGGCTAATCTATAGACCTATGAGTATCTAGTGAAGGGAGTAGTCTATTTTAGTGACAAGTCTATGTAGTAGTCTATGGACTATCCCAACAAAAACTTTTTAATGACTTTAAATTGTAACCATTTACTTTTTAACATACTTTTCAATGACGACTACATATTGTCCTGATTACATAGAAGCAGTCTAATAACGCCTTATTAATAATTTGTTATTTTCTAATTCATTAGTCATTTTCATATAATTTACTCAATGTAAATTGATATAAATTATATGAAATAATTAATTGTAAGATAAAGATTTTAATTACCTTATTTGATGAAAGTTTATGCTGAGATTTTATTAACTAGTCTATTCACAAATATATTGACTAGTCTTTACATAAGCCCATTTACTAGTCTATTAACTATTATATTTGCAGGTCTTTAGAATAGTATATAGACTAGTTGACTAGTCTATGGACCAGTCTACTAAAAAGTCTCTAGACTATAGACCTATGAGCTTCTTAACTAGTGTATGGACTAGTCTATTCTAATGACAAGTTTATGGATTAAATAGCTTATGGACTACACATTCCAGCAAAAACTTCGTAATGACTTTCAATACTAACCATTTACCTATTAACATACTTTTCAATGACTACTACATATCATCCCAATTACATAGATGCAGTCAAATAACGCTTCATAATAATGTGTTTTATAAAAACTTTCTAATTTCTCTTTGAAGCTATAGAAGGTGTTTTTCATATAATTTACATTGACAAATTTTTCTAATTACTTGTAAGCTAAAAATTTTAAATACCTTACTTGGTAATGCAAGTTTTTGCTGGGATTATATTAACTATTCACAAATCTATTGACTAGTCTATTAACTAATATATTGAGAAGTCTCCTGAATAGTATATGGGCTAGTTGACTAGTCTGTGGACCAGTATACTATTTAATCTATGGTCTAATATATTGAATAATCATTTGACTATGGATTATTCCACTGGCACTTAAATACTTAACAAAAGTTTATAATATAGAAAAAGTATTTAATATTTAGTGATGGTACTGCTGTATTTTGCGATGTCAAGATGTATTGAAAAACCAATGTAGAATAGTATTAGAAAAGAGTCGAAACGATGGGAATAGAGTATAATTCTCTACAGGATTGACCTCACAAATATTAAGCCCAGAGATGGGGGTAGTGCACTAAATTTTTAGTTAAATTAATATTTCACTAGCACTAAATACTATTTAAAAAAATTTATTTTTCACTAATTTTCAGAAGCTTAGTGGTAGTGAAGCTTATATTTTTAGCACTAATATATTTTAACTATAACTCAATTGAGTGGTAGTGCAGAAAAAAGTACTATACTCAAATAGTTAAAAATTTGAACAGAGCAGGAATATTTTTTTTACTAATAATTTAGTGGAGAAAAATTTATTTCACTAAACTTTAAAAACAAATATATTAACTATTTTTGAAATATTTTTAATTGAAAATTTTAAATTAAATTAAATTTTTAAAAAATTTAAATTCATCACTAAACATAAATGCATCACTAAACACTAATTATTAGTGGTAGTTAAAAATTAGTGCACTACCCCCATCTCTGATTAAGCCTAAGGTTTGCAAAATCATTTGTTCATTAAATTCGAGACATTATAACACACGAAGTACCTTTTATTATAAAATTTGTTAAGTCGTGTGAAAGTCCAATATGTTGGCTTCAAAATAAAGTTTAAAACCTTTATTATATGGAAGGTGTACATTAAAAAAACACCCACTATAGAGCTGTACGTTTGGTTTAATTTCTTTGAAAATTGGCAAACAAATTTAGTTTAAATTAACTGAAGACAAAGCAAACTTACCAAAAAACAAGCATTTCCATGAAAGTCGTAGCCCTGACAATAATTAAAAATTTATAATTTAAAACTACGCGTTTAAAACTTAAAATTTGTAAATATTTTTTATGACTAATAATATTTGTCTCCAAGTACAAAAGTTATTATTTTCAAAAGCTTAAATTTATCATAGTCCATATCAACAGGTGTTCATAAAATACATCTATTCTTTAAATATTTATCAAAATATAATAAAAATAACATTTATTTATCTAGTTTACTTAACAGTTTTTATTATAATGCTGATAATAAATAAATATATACAAGTTTAACATGTTCGCTTGAAATACAAATAATACATTTTCCATTTGTTTGCAAATATGAAATTTATTTAATTTTCCCCAGTCAAAAACATATGTTTATTCTCCAGATTTAATTGAAATTTCTATGACCAACAATACAAGGTTTGTTGTTACCTGTATGCGAAAATTTCCCAACTACCTAAAGTCCATGTAAATTTCCAATTTGCGCACTATCATTTATTTTCACAACGCTTTTCACGCCTACTTACAAAATCCATTTATAAAATGTTTAGAGTCACTTAGAAAAATATAAAATTTAATTTTTATTTTATTACTTGCACTTTAGAAACATCTTATACACAAAGGTTGCGGGGGTTACAATGAATCCTCCTTCCATAATGGAATTATTAAATGTTTAACTCGGTATTCATAAACTAATAATAAATTTATTATTGTCTTATTTTGTATGGAAGAAGTGCTTAATGAATAAAAAATAAATCTTTTTTAAATTTATGAATACCAGGTTTAGTCTGGTTTTGGCATTTTAATGTATATAAAGTAATTGTTAAACTAATTATAACCCTTTAACAGTCTGTAGAGTATTGTTAAGGCAAATAATAAACAACACTTAAATTATTATTTTTAGTATTTTATTTATAGCTTTTATGCCTCATAAATTTTATATTGCTTTAAAGTGCAAAATATTTACAGTCAAGAAAATAATTATAAGGTCGTAATTTTGAAAAAAAAAAGCAAGTAAGAGTGTTATATTCGGCTGTGCCGAATCTCATATACCCACCATCAAACCGTATGCCGTAAAAGGAATGCTCCTCTATAAACATCAGGGTCATATTTGGAATATGGCTTAAGTCAATTATGGACCGAGCTCTTTTGAACTAACAAAATATTAATTTTTAAAAAACAAATATTTTATTTCAATTCTTAAACCGTGAGGGTCAATTATGAACCGATACTTTGTACATAGATTATGTATAGAACTTGTTTATGCAAAATTTCAGCGCTATACTCGTATTTTAAATAAGGACCACTCGTATTTTATTAAACAAAACTCTTTCCTGAAGGGAAACTTTTGTGAATTACCGACACATTCCGCATGAGCGAATTCATAACCGTATTTCATAACTCATATTTTTAAGCCAGCAATGATCGTTTAAGTAATTATCTGAAGGGGACCTTATATGGGCGGTAGGGTAAATTATGGACCGATCCTCCTTGCATTTTGGGGCCAGTAATGAGTGTTAAAGTCATTTTCTAAAGGGGACCTTATATGGGGGGTAGGGTCATTTATGGGCCGATCCTAAAAAAAATTGGTGGAGAGATTTTGGTTCGTAAGGAACATACTTATACCGAATTTCATCGCTATACATGCATTTGGGGACCAGTAATGAGTGATAAAGTAATTTTCAGAAGGGGACCTTATATGGGGGGTAGGGTCATTTATGGGCCTATCCTCCAAAAATTTGGTGGAAAGATTTTGGCTCATATGAATCTTATTTATGTCGAATTTCATCGCTATACTTGTACTTCTAAAGCAGTTATGCCCGTTAAAGCTGTTTTTTGGAGGTCCACTTGTATGGAGGCTATCCGAAAAAGTGGACCGATATTGCCCATTTTCAATACCAAACAAACCTTAATAATAGAAAATATTTATGCAAAATTCCAACTGTCTAGCTACTCTTGTGTGGTCCCTATCGTGATTTCAACAGACAGATAGACGGACGGACGGACAGACGGACCGACATGACTAGATCGTCTTAGAATTTAATAAGGACCCGGAATTTTATTAGATTTTAGTGAACCTACTCACCGTTTCTTTATTTCAAATAACCGTATGTGATTCTTTCTATCTCTCACTCTTCATTTATTATATTTATTTAACAATGTATTTTTATTTAACGTCATCATTAATATG